GCATGAAGTTCTTGGATCATTTTAAGTAAATTAAATTAAAAACTGTAAATATTACCAGAGTTTTCTTCCTTCCTCTTGATTTACTGGACAGACTGGCGACAGACCTCCAGCTCTGTCAGTTTTATAAAGACGTCCATTCATTAGAGAGGCAACGTCAACTCTGTGGTCATAGCAACAGAAATCAACCAGAAAGATTGCATCATCGCTCAACTGTACTTTTTTAAAGGTTAAATCATTATTTCATGTTTTCAAAGCGTCTGCAGTAATATCGCATTTTATCCGACTTTTCCATAGGTAACGTGAGACAGGAGAAGAAGAAAGACAGTCAACTTGATGAAGAGATGAAAGCAGTCTGAGTCAGTGAAAGCATCACATCCCAACCGACTGCTCCTGGTCTGAGTTCACATCCAAACAGAACCAGGTTAAAACCAACTCAGAAACTGCAGACAATGCTCCACTAACGGCTGTTAGCTTTGATCAGCTTTCTTCATCTGCCGACTAGCTGCTGATTGTGCTGGCTCTTTCAGAAACTTTACAATCCATTAGAGATGGCGGCCATTTTTACTGCCATGAACAGGATGCTGCAGCAGCACCATTTTGATGCTTTTACATCATTCAGCAGTGTGTAGTGTTTCAGATGTGAGTTTCAGACGTTTCCAATGGGACGATAAGAGTTGAAATAGCTCTGGAGTTCAGGAACTTGTCTCCGTTTAATCACAAACTTCCCTTCTTACAGTCTCCAGTACGAGGAATGAACCATTTTAGGCCAAACATGGCTACCACAACACACCCTCACCTTTCAAAATAAGAGCACAAAACATAACCCGAACTCCTCCCCTTACATTACGAACAACGCCACAACACAAATTCAGATTTCATCAAATAGAAAATTTGAATGTGGCATCCTTAAGGAGGTTTAGAGTCAAGTGTTCAGAAATGACACAGGTCATTGTTTTCCTTCCTCTGGTTCAGTTTAAGCTGTAAATAATCAATCAATTTATTTTTATCAATTAAAGCAATGTCAATGCAGATTATTAACTCCAATATAAAGATTCTTTTTCCACACTGTCCTTGTAGTGTAAAATATCCTGTTTTCGTCTTTTTTTTCTGGACTGTGGCGCCCCCTGCTGGTTATAGCACACATAGAAGTCTCATCTGAACAGTTCTCTGGTGGTTTTACCAAAGATGACATTTCATTCATCTGCACTTTCCTAATACTTTGAATCAATAAAAACTGTCCTAATTCCATATTCCAGGCTTTTTTCTTTGACCCACATTCTGAAAAACATGTTTCAGCTTTTTGTTTTCATGGAGGAAGGAGGCTGAGGTCAGGGTTCTCTTGGCAGAAGAGGGTTTGTAACAACTAAAGGACGAGAGAAACATGTTTCAAATTAATGTGAAGCTTAATGTTGGTCTGGACGAAGACGGCCTGATGGTGGCGCTATCGGACCACCTTCAACCGTGAATCCTTGCAGTTGGAGCCAACGTCCTGCTGATGTCTGGAAAGCAATTTGACTTTATTTATTTTTGAAAGTCTGAGTCTGATAGAAAAAGCATGACAGGAAACAGAGAGGATGTCAGCAAATACAAACAGGAAGTGAATGTGGAGCAGATGAAGAAGAACCGGACAGTTTCACTCTTACAACAAAACCCAAGAAAACATCTAATCAACTCAAAGAGGAAAACCTGAAAGGCTTGCTGCACACGAGTTAGAAGAATGGACTGGTCTGGGCTGAATTTAGATGCATGCCACACTTTGAAGATTTTTCCTCTTTTAAAAGACAGCCTGACTTTAGGCTGCTTTATCTCACTGTTTCTAATTGGAATGGAAAAACGAGAGGAACATGAGCGGAGACATCTGCTGATCAACTTCTGTTCACTTTTACTTTGGAGGAGTTTTATTTCCTCTGATCACCAGTTGTCATTACACCTCCCAGAGCTCCCACTGCTCCCAGAGGTCCCAGTTCTTGACAGTTTGGGTTCAGTCCAAGAGTTTTAGGTCAAAGTATCGAAGTTGACCTTCCTCCTGAGTCTGGAGAGAAAAGATAAAGCTATTAATAATGAATAACTGGAGAGTAGTAGGAGAGAGTAGCGAAAAGCACTGAAAAAATAAACAACTGATCCAACTTAAATATATATATTATGTTAATTGGTCACAAGTAATCAAGTTAATTTATTTAGTTTATTAAAGGGAGAGTTTTATGTAAAATCATTTAATTTTTAAATCATATTTTAAAGATTTTCACTGGAGTGTTGCTTTGATGTGTGAGAAATCCTTTAATCTCCATGGCAACCATTCAACTGCTAAAGCACCTCTGGGAACCTAGCTCCGCCTTCGAGGCGCAGCTCCTCCCGCACTCTGCTCCGTCAGACTAGCCAGTAGTAATTAGCAAACATCTGCTGAGCTCCTTATGGGAGCTGCTGCTCAGAGCAACGCTGGCAAAAACATTAAAAGGTCAACAGAGGAGCCATGTTGGGATGACTTCCTGGAGGCGGAGCTTCGGAAAGAGCAAGAGTTTTTAAAGAGACAGAGGGCCAATTTCAAGTTAAATTAGGAAGTAAAATTTAAGTCATATTTGAGCATGTGAAGCATTTTATAACTGAAGATAACACAGTTAGTTGATTGTGAATGTTGATGTGGCAGGAAAACACACGACGCTGCTCCTTTAAGAAGTCAAGGTAAACACATGCAGATCAAATAAGTTTGACAAACTTCATTTAGTTAGTTTTCAACAATTAATTTATTTTCCTTCTCCAGCAGCTGGTCTACCAGATGAATAAAAGTACAGAACGGTTTAAAGTGGAGACCAGATTCCAGGTCCAGATTCGCAAATCCTGCAGGATAAGAGCTGACAGAACCAGTTCGATGCCAGATCCAGATGTGAAGCGGGTGGGCCGGCCCGAGGAAAACGCTCCAGTGGGTCAAACGGCAGAGGAGCGGGTCCGACGGGTTCTGACGGGTATCTGATTGCTGCTGCCGAACCGAAGCAGAACAGCGTCTCCAAGCTTCCTGGTTCCTCCCGCCGCTCCGCCTTCCTGGATTGGCTTCAGGTTGCAGCAGAGGAGCAGAACCAGAACCACAGCCGCCGCTCTGCTGAAGTCCTCACGGTGAGTCTTCCTCTCTGTTTCCTTCATCTTCATCATGACGGGTTTTCATGCTGCAGCTGGTCTGACCCTGAAACGACCTGCAGGGCTTAGAGGAGACCTGACGTTCTGATCTCACTGAAAACCTTCAAATTAGATAAACTCTGAATTTAATTTCACAAAATGCAATCAAAAAAAAAGTTGATCAATTAATCAGATCACCATCGATTTTCGCATTTTATTCCACATGTTTGCAACGCGACCCTGACTGTCTGCTGTAAAACCTCCTGATCACCAAAGTTACTGATTAACTCCAACATTGGGATCTGCAGGAGGCTCTGCGCCACACAGATGGAGTTCATGAAACAGACTTCATTTCTCAACCTAGTCAATCATAAGACTATGTTTTTATGATGTTTTTATGATGTCTTGTGCTTTTTTACCTTGTTTTACAATGGCCTGAAATAATAAAATGTTGAAATCAAAGGAATGACAAGCTCAGTCAGATCAGAGGGAAGATGTTTGAATTTCAGCATGAAGAGGAGACCTTCCAAACTGGAACCCTACAGAAGAATTTAAAAGCTCTGGGATTGTTCTGCTGACAGCAGAGAACGAGGAGAGGCGACAAACTGAATCGAAAGCTCTGACTGAATTCAGAGAGCGGCCATTTCTGCTCCAGTTCTGACCAGCATTATTACCCTGATGACCTCATCGCTACAATTAGCTAGTCAGCTGCATTTGCGAGTCCAGCGGTGAGGTTGTGTTTGTTGTTCTGCTGGTGACTGAGCTGCAGCTGGACTCAGGTTGGACTCCAAAGGAAGCCATGAAGCTTCACTGCTGCTGGACTGGAAACCAGTCCAGCCAGTTTAATAACATGGAGGACGTGTTATTCCATCTTAAAATGACTCATTAAGGCCAGATATCTAATCTGGTTGGCATCCAGATGAAACAAATTGTGAGCTGACAATGCTCTGATAAGGAACTATTTCCTGTTGAAACAGGAAGTTAAACCACCTGGAACAGATTACTGATTAAATGAAAACATGGCAGAGAAGAATCTGAACGATAATCGATCAAAGAAATGTTGAAATAATCTTAGTATGGAAGCTTTTTACTGTAGTTTAAACAGAACCTGAGCTGGAAACCTCAATAAGTCTAAGGCAGGCCAAAGTGCTTTTCATATAAAAACATTACAAACCTGGTTAGGGTTAAAGTATGAAAAAACATTACATTTTTAAATGCCCATCTTCAATGTTTCAATATGTCTGAATTATATTTGACACTAAATTATTTTCTGAAAATGATTTACTCTGTCTCAAATCAGATGTTTGGTTTGAGACAATGAAACATTTTCTTAATTAGTTTTTTTTTTTTTTGAAAATGTGTATTTTTACATTTGAAGCTTACAAAGTTAAGCATTAATCAAATTAATCAAATTAATCTCAGCGCTGAACATTTGATGATTTCCTCTCCAAGCAGAGACATCATCTGCCCTGAGGATTACCGCAACGTGTTAGTAGATAGGGGGGAAAAAAATCTGAAATTTTAATATTACGCTCAGAAATAAAACAAAATAAATAAATTTTAAAAAAAACAGAAAAAAGCGAAGAAAGTTTAAAAATAGATTTTTTTGTAATTAATTAGTTGCATTTTTATAAATAGAAATTTTCTAGAAGAAATGAGTGTCAAAAGTCAAAAATTTGTTAGAAAAAAATTGCGATTTATTTTTCTGATTAATCTCTGAAAATTTCTAGAAAAAACATGGAGATTTCTGGCTTTGGAAAGTCGTAAATTTCCATGTTTTTGTTTTATATTGATTGATTTCTGAGGTTTGTGCCGCGCAGAGGACAGCCTCTCGGCTTCAGCCTGTTTTTATTTAAAAGCTGCAGAAAACGATTTAGACCAGTTGAAGTGTGAAATGTTGGTTACCGTGGAAACGTGGGGAATTGAACGGAGAGCCGCGTTAGGAAACGAGCTCAGGTCCTTCACAATAAAAGCCCTGTTGTGTTTCGTGTCCGTGGCCCTGGTGGAGACCCTTCGTGGAGCCCAGAGGTCGGGCTGAAGGCCACCAGGACATTTGGTTGAGGTTTGCGGTCGCCTCTGATTTCTCCTGCGGTTCCCCTGCAGCTTCGCTCCAGTCTGGCTTTTCTCTCTGAGGTTTGCAGAAATGTGCTGTGTGTGCAGAGCAACGCGAGTGTGTAAAATGTGTGTATGGGCTTTGAGGTTCGGGACCTAATGACAGAGTCCAGAACCGGGCTCATCGCTGTGTGTTTTGCAGGTCCTGTTCTCCTGTCCGCAGAGAAAGGATGGTGGCCGACAGCTTGAATTCCGCGGGCCGCCGCTGGAGCCCGTTCCGCAGCATCAAGGTCGGTTTGGGTTCAGGGTGGAGCAGCAGACATGAAGCCAACATTCACTGTGTGGAAACACCGGCTTCTGTTCTCTATGTTTAAATCGAACCTTTTCTGACTCGAGTCGGTTTGGATTAACGAAATTCTGAATCTAAAAAAGATTCGCCTTTTTTTAAGGGTCACTCGGAAAACCCTGATTATGATGGGGTTTTCTTCAGCTTCTGATTAGGTAATTCACAACGTTTGACTTGATTTATGTTAATGCTTTTTTTTGTGACATTATAGAAAAATAATATTGAGACTTGAATAGCATTTTTAATCAAGTCAATTGCAGGCTTGGTAATTAATTGAAAACCAAAATGGGCAACATTTTCAGTTCAAAACTCATTATTGCTGCTAAATTATTGTACAAATATATGAGCTCAAGATTTTCAACCAACAGATTGGAGCAAACGTTTGTTCCAAGAGAGCATGAAAGTAATCAAATACTAATCAGCTTAACCAATCAGACAGCAGGTCAGACTGCTGTCCATTGTAGCTTTAAAGTGTTCAAGTGGAGAAATCTTCATTAGCGCAGATAGCGTCTGCAGGGTGTAAGATGAGATAAAACAATTCAATTATTGCTGCAATATCAGAACAGCATTTGTTTAAATGCTTGTTTAAAGTTGTTCGCATGTCCGGAAGATGTGGAGGAGATGACAAGAAGCTGGTCTGTTGTTTCGCTGAAGCTGCTTCATTTTCCACTGAAGCAGAGCGGTGGTTCTTAACACACAGCAGCAGAATTCATCCATTCATCATTCTGCTCATGTGAATGTGAAGGTTTCAGGTCTGAAGAACCAGATAAACTTGGTGTTTGACTTTCAGGACATTTTGTTCTTGTTTTCATTCTGAAACTCTTGGTCCAACCTCCCACATATTTTCTTCCAAGCTGCTGGAGTTTCCTGAAATGGAAAAAACGTTTCCAGGGATGTCTGGTGGTTTGCAGAGAGGGGAGGGAAATCTGGAGTGGATCAGGACTTTTCTGGGCTTCTGTTGGAGCAGAGGCTGAATAAGCTGCCATGTCGTCTTCCCTCTGCCTGCAGGTGTTTGTGCTGTGCCACAGCCTGCTGCAGCTGGCTCAGCTTCTCGTGTCAGGCTACATGAAGAGCTCCATCTCCACCATCGAGAGGCGCTACGGCCTGTCCAGCCAGAAGTCCGGGATCCTGGCCGCCTTCAACGAGGTCAGTGCTGCAGCTGAAGAGCTTCGCCCTGATTCAAACCCAAACCACTCAAAAGTCTCAGGATGATGTTGGCTGGAGGCCGACATCATCGCTCCAGCACCAAAATATTACAAAATAAAATCTGAGGCCACAGCAGCGCCAGGTCAAAGTATTCACCCTACTTGAACTTTTCCACATTTCAATCTGATCCAACAACTTTCATCAGTGAGTTTCATTTGGACCAAGCATAACAATTAGAACCTGATAAATAGGTTCCATTTCAGACGGTTCAAAGTGCCATAAAAACTTTCCACAGTCATCATTCACTAAACAAGCAAAAAACATTTAGTCGAACGCCATCATCACGCAAATACACTTCAGATATGTTGAATTTATTACTAATCATGTCTGACCAGGTGAGGTTTTAGCCTTCATTTAAAGGAGCTCAGAGTTTCGGTTGCTTTGCAGTTTTCTGAAGTTTTGTTCCAGATTATGACCTTCACAGTTTCTCTCCCCTCTACTGCGTCTTCCTGTCCTCCACCCGTCCCTCTGCTCTCGTGTTCAGGTGGGCAACACCGTCCTCATCGTCTTTGTGAGTTTCTTCGGCAGCCGCGTCCACCGGCCGCGGTACATCGGGTGCGGAGCTCTGCTGGCGTGCCTGGCCTCACTGCTGATAGCGGTGCCTCACTTCCTGAGTGGAGAGTACACCTACACGGACAAGATCACCAGTAAGAACCGCGCTCTGACCTCTGACCTCTCATCCAGGCTGGACCTGAACGTTACCTCCTGAGACTGAGGTTTGCTTTGTTGCTTGAGGGTGAGCCTGCCTGTTTCCCTACAGCATCCAGCGGTAACAAGTCCGGCCTCTGCTTCTCCTCGTTGCCCTCCAATCAGACATGCCACAAGGAGGACAGCGACACCCAGTGGGTCGTCTACCCGCTGCTGCTGCTGGGCCAGCTGCTGCTGGGCATCGGCGCCGTTCCTATCCAGCCCTTCGGCATCTCCTACATCGACGACTACGCCAGCAGGAGGAACTCTCCGCTCTACCTTGGTAGGAGACCAAAGATCAACTTTAACCCAGTTGAGAACCACGTAGCTTCTGTTTCTAATGCTGGGCAAATTTAACAAGTTTGGGTTTCTATCAAATAAACTCTCATACATGAATTGGTTTCTTCAAACATTGATGCTTCGTTGAGAGTCAACACCCATTTCCTCCAGTTTAGGGAACCCATCATACATCATCAGCGGTTGATGTTACACAATACGATGGCAGGACACAAGATGGCACAGCTTTTGCTGCTTTGTTTAAATATCTTCCTTCAACTTAGCAATCTGCAGTCTGGAGAACATACCTTTTAACTGATCACTCTTACTGCCAAGAAAAGAGAGAATGAAGTCATGAAGCAACAGAGAAGCTGATAACTGACCAGTGATAATGGAGCCAGTGGTAGATTTGGTTTGTGTTATGGAAACATTCTAGACTGGTTCAAAAATTCAGACTCCAGACTGCATTGGTGGAAACAGCCTCCCACAGTTCTCATGTGGGAGGCACTGGCTCCACTATCACTGGTCAGAGAAATGTTGCCTAATCATCAATAGGGCAGTTCAACATAAATAGACCAAAAAAAAAACAACAAAAAAAACATTTATTCATCTGTCAGTCTAGTGAAATAGCAACACTGATTAAAATAAACATATTTATGAAACTGCAGCCCCTTGTCTGACTGACCTACTTTAACTGGTTTCCTGGAACTGAATCTGAATCCACCAGTACTTCTCTGCTCAGCTGAAACTCCGTCATAATAACTTGATGTTCTGATTCCAATGAATGTTCACATCCACATTAAAAGCTCAGTAATCAGAATGCATGAATATACACTAATACACCAACAGAAAATTTGCTGGTTTTTATCTGGGATCCATGAGCAACATGCCATGTCTGGAATATTATACATACTGTTATAAATAAGGTTCTGAGTCTGAACTGATGTATTTCTGGTGCTAATTGACTCAAAGCACTACAATCAGGTTTAGTTGTTTCTGTTTTTCTCTGAAGTTTTGCTTTGATGTGTTGCTGCGTCTTGCAGGCATCCTTCTGGCCATGACCTCTATCGGTCCGGCGCTCGGCTTCGTCACCGGATCCTTCCTGCTGCGCATCTATGTGGACTTTGACAAACTGTCCAGAGGTGAGGATTCACTCTGCTGACGGGTCCCAGCTGGACCAAACACCGACAGTTCACTTGTTTAACATTAGCAGACAAAAGGGAGGGCTTCCTGTTTAACACAGACGCTCAAAGAGAAACAGAGGAATGGATGTGGGTCACTCATCAACGAACTGCTAAAACTACCAGGAGCAAAACAGAGATGATTAAAGTCAAAAGTAAGCCCTTAGGGAACTCAGTGTTTCCTTTTTCTACAGAAATTATATTTATCACTGGGGAGTGGGCAGGAAATATGAGAACAACAAACATCAACTTGAAGCCAGTAGCATTTAAAAGCTCCAACCCATTTCCTGGAATCCAGCAGTTCCTGAAGAAAACAATGACTTCCTACAACCGTGCTCCACTTTTAGTTCAGCGTTTGAATGAGATGTGCAGCAGCAGCACTGAACCCTCAGATTGTTCACCGCTAACAATACCTGAGCAACAACAGCAGCCAGAGAAAATAAACCCGTCAGGCATTTCACAGACTGAGCAGCTGGCAGAGACCAGCCTTCAGTTACAAAATTATCTACAGCTTGATTTCAGAACTAAGAAAAGCTTCACACTTTGCTGCAGAAGTCACTCAACAGGATGCTATGATCATCTCAACAGAAGGGGTTTTCCTGCTTCTTCAAGCTGCTTTACAGCTGAAGATAAAACTCTTCATTATTCAGTAAATATTTATTCAGCAGCTAGCAAGAAAATAAAGCAATGCAAATAAATCCTTAATGTTCAAACACTGAGCTAAAATAAATTGTTTTGTTAGCTCAGATTCAGCAGGGAAATGAACTGTGGGTTCAAAAAATAAATACACATTTCAGTAGATTTTAATTTAGCTGCTGTGATCTGCAGATTGATGTTCTCTGAAATGCTGCTCCAGTTTGACACGTTTGTAATTAATAGTTTTACAGTTGACAGACCTGTCTGAACAAAAAAATTTTTCCTCATATGGGGCAGGTGTGTACAAGAATGACAGAATGTTGCAACTGTGATTGTGTGTGATATGTTTGTGGGTAGTGTTCAGCCATAAATCAAGACTTTGTACCAATTCAACTCAGTTGAAAGGTTTTCATAATTGAGTTGTAAAAGAATCTGGTCAATAATTAAATGTGCGTCCTCCAACAAATAATCACTCATCAAATATTAAACTGGATCATTTTTAGATCATTTTAGTTTCCTACCTTTTATTTTAGGGAAGAATCTGGCCTCTGTCTCTGCATGTTGTTATTATTATTAATAATATTTAAACTCAGTGGAGGACAGCAGGAACCAGAGCCAACATCATTCTGGACCTAGGGAGTTAACATACTTTTAATGTTTAACTGAACGAAAACCCACATCTTTTACTTTCACTTCGAAAGTAAGGACTCATTGAATCATTGAGACAGCATCTTTTCCATATTTATATTTCTTTTTTAAATTATTTTTAGCAGCAGAGGTTCCTGTATTTCTAACTTCATCTTTCTGAATCCTTCATTGACTTTTATATAATTCTTAAAATGAAACTAACAGCCTAGACAACTTGTTTTTTGCTGATTAACTGTCTAAATAGTTTCCTCATGTGTAGTTAACACTCAATCAGTAAAATGTTTTTATGTAAGTTGCATTTTGTGTCCACTGTCCTGTATACTGACTAGATTTTGCCCATAATAACTGATCTTCATAAGAACTCAAATGAACACCTTCTGTATTCTGAGACTTTTGTAAAAGAGGTTAATAATCTCAGCAGATTTTTTTACCTGGAAACAAGTAAAATAAAAAAACAGAACTAGCTAATATGCTTCATGCTACTCAGTAGATGTAACCAAAATATTTGAATGTAGTAAAAATATGGATCCATTTTAACCAGCTACATTATCAGCAGGTTAAAAATTTTGCTCATTTAAAACAGAGTGTCAAATGAGGAACAGTTTTAGATGGTGTAGCAGTTAACCATAGAGAAAACAAACATGCTCTTTTTGGGCAATATAGCCAAAAACTTTCTTTAAGTTCCTCATAATCAAGTATTATTTTGTAGGTCTGTCGTGATTTCCTGACATCTTCAACACAGAGGAAGGAGCAAAAGTTGTTTTCTATATGTAGCGATAAAAAGAGATAGTTATATGCTGCAGCCACACAGACAGACCTACCCACTAGATAATACCAAGTGCACCCAGTGGAACGCTGTCATTCTATTGGCCAGAATGGTGGTTGGGGGGTCAACGGTACTCCTTGACCTGCCAGAGAGCAGAAAATAATTGAAAGCGAGCAGAAAGGTTAGCGAGTACCGAGAGAATGTTTGGACAGGAGGAGAAAATCTGAGGGAGGACATAAAATATTTGAAAGAGAGCAGAAGTTTTGAGTGAAAGACTTACAAGTTGTGAGATAGAGAGATGAAATCTGCTTTCAAATTGAAAATGTAAGCTCTGGACTTCTGGCGGTAAAATTTACGCAAACAGAACAACTGATTTCAGAGTTGAGGGAGAGTGACGGTGTGAAGGCAGTACCCGCTGCTCACTCCAGATGGAGCACTGCTGTCGCCATTAAACCCTCCAATAGTACAGAAAAAGTCTCCAGAAGGTGTGAAGAGTCACCAAATGTTGCATCGTAGATAGTCACTGAGCTAGCTTTAGTGTCGCCTGGAACCACCCACTGTGTTAAGGGTTTGTTTTCACAAGAACTATTAGCTAAGAAATGTATTGATGAATGTTCTCATAGTGCAGTCATTCATCAACGTTCCTGTGAACACACAATGACAGGAATGTGTGTGTGAGCATGTGGGATTATGAGATATTTTTTGTTCCTCACACATTCTTTGTTGTCTTTGAACCAGATTATAATACTAAGCCTCTGGGCTGCTGAGCTTCAGTTTGTCCGTTGGGGTTGGGTCAAACTCTGATGGCTGACCCGGTAGCCTCCACTGGTTCTGGTTTCTGTTTTGCTGTGGTAGCAGGCAGCAAGCACTAAAATAAAGTATATTTGTTACAGTTTGTTTTACTTTGATGCTGAGCTTCACATTGTAGGCCTGATTCACTAGAATAACAGATGGCTTCTTAAACTCATTGATATATAGATGAATTTCAACAGAGAAGCAGCCGAATGGCATTCATAAAAGCCCAGGAGATAAATCGGCAATATGATAAATTTGTGTTTTCCAAACGTTTCACTCTCTAGGTGACTGGTGTTATATAATGTCATTTTGAATAACTTCACCAACCTCTCAGTGTTTCAAAGACCTTTTAAAATGACTCACGATAACATTCTCTTTGGATTGTTTTTTAAATGTGTCATCAGGAAGCATAACTGACTCTGCCAAGCATTAATGTGAAAACCAGGCAGCGTCAGCATTTCCTGTCCTAGTTTTCAGGTGTTGGTGAAATTAATTCTCCAGGCTTTCTGAAGGTCTGGGTCACAGTTCTTCAGAAACTGTTTACTTTGCAGGATCCGTGATAAATGGACCTTTCTTATTGAGTTATGTGGGTTCAGAAACAGTCTTAGCAAAATTAGTTCAAATGATCCAGATTGTGCATGTACCCCTGAAAACAATGGAGAACAGAAAATGGAAAACAGATGTTTTAGCAAAAATGTGGCCCCAGTCCAGACAAACTGCAGTAAATATCTGTCCTGGAGAGTTTGTTTCAGCTTCAGACACAGCAGGAACAGACTGAAGCTGATCAATTAGATTATGATTAATAGATGACAAAACTTTTTGTGGAGATAAATTAAGAACACTGGTATGTTTCAAAATCTAGTTGTTTTAAATGTTAGTTTTAAGTGCAGTGTTTTGCTTAGACCTTAATATTTTGGTAATATTCTAAATTCACTTGCCAATAAGTGGAAAATGTTTTAGTAAAGATAAATATTGAGGTTACCAACAAAACATTTAGTTTGGAGCTAAATATTTAGTTTGCTAATTAAATATTTAATTGAAACTGTGACATTTATAAATGAATGAAAAATATGGAGAAACTATTACTTTGAAAAATCAACTCCCATTTTCTTCTCATGACAGGCAAACGACCCCAAATTATTGCTGCTGGTTTTTGACTGTATAATCATCGGTGCCCCATTGGGCCGTGTACCACCTCTCTCCCAGTAACCATGGGAGAGTGGGACCAGTTGATCAATTCAGCAAAGCATCATGGGATTGTTGATGCTTTGCTGAATTTGACAGTGAAATAAAGCTTTTCTCCCAGGCTTTTAAGAAAACCTGCTCGGCGTTTTGACTTTCAAAGTTCATCATTTTTAGTTCTTGTCAACGTCTGTTAGCGTGTTTGTGCAACAACCACTCTTTCACTCTCTCTGGTCACACATTTCTGATTTTTACTGTACCGTAAAATCAACTGATGTCAAACAAAAACATCCAGACAAACTGATTCCCAAACCGCTCATGCAACCTTTGTGAGCCTCCAGCGTTCCTTGTTCAAGTCTGGTTCTGTAAAAACAAAGTACAGCATGACAACGTCACCTGCATAAGAAAACATTTAAACTTTTAGTTTTTTAAGTTTTTTTCTGCTTCTTGGAGAGAACTGCGGTTCATAAACTGGAAAATAGAGTTCATAGTTTCACCTAGATGAAATTGAGCACTGTAGCTGGTAATATTGACAAACATGAAATGTGATGTTAAAAGTCAGACTTCAGCAAATATGGGACTAAATGTGCTTTCAGATTACATTTGCTGTGAGCAGACACATTGGAAAGCAGCCATGCTGGATCTGGGCTGGAAGTTGTTTATTATGTTGTATAAACAACTTCTATCTTTTTCATCTTGATTTGATGCAACAGGACCTCCCACACTTCCTTCATTTGTCCCCTCTCTCCCCCATATTTTTCCCAGTTTCTCGTTACAACAGTTTAATCTGTTGTTATGTTGCAACGTGTTTTTCTGAGCCACCTTTAAATGCAACTGGAGATTAAGATCTTTGTATTGTTTTTGCTTCCTAAGAGCAGAGACTGAGACATGCAGAGAACTGAAGGCTGTGTGTGGTCAAATCATGGCAGAAAATGAGCAAAATGCACAGACCGTGGTAGATTTTTCCTAAATCTACCACGTAAAGTAACTGTAAAGTTAATTTACCATGTAAAGTTACTTTACATGAAACTGAGTTGAGTGATCCTGCTGGATGCAGATAAAGTTAGCTTAACTAGCTAATCCAAGCTAATATATCGTCTTAAACTTGTTAACAAGAACAGGCTGCCTCTATGTTCAGAGGTCAGTAGTTCTGGTTACATTTTAGTTAGTAACTTTTTGGGTAATTAGGAATAGTTTTACTACACTGTACTATTTACTCTCACTTTAGTAATATTAATATTGCTATTCTTACCTTAGCAGATTTTTTTTTTATTTAAAGAATAAATTTCAGAGATGAGAAACATTAGTTTTTCTACATGTTGCTGTTTACTTATTGCTGATTTTGTATCATTAAACATAGTTATTTTAGTTGCACATTAGTTCATGTATTTATTTTACAGTAAAAATCAGATGACGGCCCTGCTATAGTGCTCTGGAGCCGGGACTGTCAGCTGATCAATGGTAGATCTGTAGAAACTAAAATCCTGAGAAACTACAACCGGGAGCGTTTCTGCTGGACGGGTTTGAACAAGTTCTGATCCAGTTTTCATGGAAAGTCTCAGGGGAAAGTGACAGAATGCCAACAGTGATTAATCATCATTTATTATCTCAGATCTTCTTCCCAGACAAATTCTCATCAGTCAAACAGCAAATAACACACGACTGCATGGTGAAACATGTAACATGTTGTTTGAGATCATTCCTCTTGAATTTGGAGGATGTTTAAATTAAACGTAAGTTGTGTTTTGTGTGTGCGGTCCAGATGACATAACGCTGGATCAGACAGACCTCCGCTGGGTCGGGGCCTGGTGGCTGGGCTTCCTCATGGCCTCCGGCTTCCTCTTCCTCACTGCTTTGCCGTACCTGTTTTTCCCCAGAGAGATGCCCAAAGAGGTGAGTCAGGATCAGCCGGCGAATCACTCCACCACCGTTTCACCCCAGAACAGACACCGTTACTCACCACAGCAGAACTTGGAATTACATGAAAAGAGTCACTTTACATGACACGAATGTTGGAGGTTAAGAATGATTTAAAATAATTGTCTGCAGACTGTAGAGATGAGAATAAGGACTTTTACATTAGGACTTCTCCCTTTTTCATTCCACTGTAAGTCACAGCATGTTCAGAGCCTCCATGTTTACCTTTGGTTTGGAGGGTGGGGGGATGCCTCTCACTATTGCCTCTCCTGTGTGACACTGAGTTGTTCTGTGATGAACTGGGGATCAGATCAGTCCAGGGTGGACCCAACCAGCAACTGTCTTCTGCTCATCTGAGTTTGGTCCAGTCAGGTAACGGGTCTAGCAGCGAGACCAACACTTTCTTCTGCTCAGTGACTCTCTCCAGCTCAGACCTGAAGGAGACGCGGTATTTTGGGTCTGCCACTCATGGGCCATGACTAGAACACCTTCAAACCGATCTAGATCCATGATGGATCACAGAACTCCTCACCTTATGAGTCCAGAGATCCTCGAGGAGCCAAACAGCTGTGAACCTCTGCAGCCCATGATGAAGCTTATGGCTTTAATCCACCAATGGAGTCAGATGTCTCCTCAAAGGAAGCAAGCTTTAAAAAACCTCATCGTCATGACTACACCACTCTAGATGTGGTCCAATTCACACAAAGTCCAACATGCACTGGGAACCAGTTTAACTACCAGCTGAGGATACAGGCATCTCCTACTGCAGGTTCACAAGGACCGGAAGGTTGTCAAAGTAACCAGGTACCCATCGCCCCCACAGAACGATGACCCACTGGTGAATAGATCAACTCAACACTTGAGGAATTGGCCACCACAGCAGATCTCTGGTTGGGTTGACTTTGTTCGGGATGAAAGCCTCTCTGCTCCTGAAACTCAGGTTCATCACCTGGAGCAAGGCTTTCCAGGAAGGCCTGGACCGTTGGGTCCCATTGCCTGGTCCCTTGTGACTAGGATTGCCTCTCTGATCAGTCTCTCCTTGGGTGTTGCTCCAGTTGCGACAACTGAGAAGCGTGCTAACCACTGTAATCCATCTGCTGCCTTTAGGCTAATCCTGTTCCTCTGTGACGCAGTTGCTCTCAATGAAAACAAGCACTGGATCAACAACATGACGATCCCTGTAGCGTCTAATGTGTGTGATTAAAATGTTTGTGAACAGACGTAGCTCCTGCAGGCTGCCAGTCAACTGTGTGAGGAGAGGGGAGTTTTCACAGCTCTGGGAGGATTTTTTCAGAGGAAGTCATTTCCTTGAACACAGTTTATGTGGAGTAGGCCTCCTGTGGTCTGCTGCGCATGATGGAGATCTGCTGAGGTTTGTGAAACGGCCGAACAGGGGATCAGGTTTGTTGACAGAAGAGGCAGGAATGTCATTAGATCTGACTTTGTGGGGCTCAGTCCTGCTGCAGCTTGTTGAGGTAAAGAGAGTTCAGCAAGCTTTGGCTGCGACCCATTTAGCAAGCAGCAACATAAACATATAAACGCTAAATGATGCAGCTGTGTGGGAGATTATACAACAGAGTTCCAGTTTAACCCTCAGTCTAAAAAGACTTCAGCTGAAAAATATGCAACAATTTTTACTTTCTGTTTCCTTCTGGAGCAAAACATCCTGGAATCTTTATGAGAATCTGTTTATGCTTCCTGAGACACAGAGGCAGCACAAACGAGACGCAATCACATTCAGTCGATTACAACGTTAAAACAGGAAAGTCCACAAGTACAGAATTCTCAAATTAATTCACCAGAGATGTTATTGACTATATGGAAATATAATTTATAGCGATGCATACACACATGGATTTATTTGTGGAACCTGTTCAGTCTAGTTCCCAGTTGAGGCAGACAAAGTGAGACAGCAATGGAGGGAAAATTATATTTTTTAAGTTTAGTATTCAGTATTCAGCTCTGTGTCATATAAATGTGGCTCAGATCAGCAGCATCCAGTTCTGAGAATATTTAACCAGGTCAGGAACGGTTCGGACTCAGACATGAGCCTCATTCATCTGTAATGAAAATAAGTCAAACTGAGAGTCAGTCTGGATTTGGACCTGGTGTTAAAACTGAAAGTCGGAGGCTTGGCTCTTGGCTCTTGGAGTTGTGCAACAACCTGACAGAGATCCAGCTGTTCAGAACCAGCTGCAGAGTCTGCATGAGGCAAACAGCTCTGGTTCATTTCCAGAGATAAACCAGAAAACAGATGAGAGAATATTATCAGTTTGAACAAAATTATATTTCTGTTGAAATGAATGTTTGCCAGCCAGTTTCATGAGAATGAAAGAAAGATAAACTCTGTTTTTGGTCCTTCAGCTGACAGTTAATGGTCTTTACAGACCAGAACCATTCATCTGGTTCCTCTCTGTGCAGAATGGAGCGGATGACCAGGAGTCCAGAACCGACATCAAGTCGCCGCCGCAGACCGACCCCATGAGGGATCTCACCCTGCTCCAGTTCCTTAAAAGTAAGAGTCAGTTTCCCCGCTTCCGCTTCCTGCCTGATGCCGCTGAGGTCACTCAGGGCCAGGAGCTCTGCATCATGACCTTTGGCTTAGTAAACATGGCCCAAGTGAACATGCAGATCATCCATGTTGAACAATGAAAACATTCATCTGGAAAGATGTTTTCCAGATGAGTGACCTAAAAATGAAACCCAAAGTGTTTACTCGTCCCAACCAGTCCAAGCTGAAACTAAAACGGATTCGATTCCCCAGGTTTCCCTCGCATTGCCCTGCGGACACTGAGCGGTCCCATTTACCTCCTGGTGGTTCTGGCGCTGGTAAACATGGCGGCGCTGGTGTCCGGCCTCGCCACCTTCATGCCCAAGTTCATTGAGAAGCAGTTCAGCCAGACCATTCCCTTCTCCAACATGATGATCGGTGAGAATGCCGCCAACACTGTCGCTCCAGATGGTTTTGAACTCAGCAGAACTCAGGATGTTCCGGTTCGGGTTCTATGACTGTGTTTCTGTGTTTGGTGATGTGAAGCTCTTTGAACGGCCATGTTGCTAAACGTTCAAGAAAAATAAACTCGATTTGCTGTAACTGGGCTTCTCTACTTCAGGAGGAGTTGGCATGCCGCTGGCGGTGGTGGGTGTGGTTCTGGGTGGAGCAATGATGCGACGGTTCAACATGTCGGTCGCCGGCGCCAGCAAGCTGTGCGCGACGGCCATCTTGCTCTGCCTGATCTCTGCCCTGCCCATGATCTTCATCGGCTGCCCCACCCAGAGGGTCGACGGGATTTACCCTGTCAGGTAGCGCCTCCATCAGTGATTCATAACCCACAGCCAGAGTCAGCCATGCTCAGGAGATTCTGTTGGACCTGGTTCTTTTTGGGGTTTGTTTTAAACTCCTGGACCAATGTGTGGTTCTGATCGTAGTCGGTCTGAATCGGTCTCTGTGTGTCCCCAGGTACAGTTCCCCAGAGTGCAGCGCTGGCTGTGGCTGTCCTGCGGACGCGTTCAATCCCATCTGCGGCTCCAATGGCGAGGAGTACAGGTCTCCCTGCCACGCTGGCTGTTTGGCAAAAGAAATGAGTACCAGCAACAAACCCACGGTGAGCTGACTCATCAGTCACTGAGTTGAATATGAATTCAGTAACTCCAGATTCACAGACCAACAGAACCATCAAATCACAGCCTAATCTAAGTGTCCTCCAGTCCATTACTTTGATACTCAGTCCCGACACGCCAGCTGTTCACCTCTGGCTCAATTAGTCTGCAGAGGTTTCTCCACCTGCACCATCTGCATCAGCCCTGCTGTAGAGCAGAAAACACCTCCACTACCTCTGCTTAGTGTTCAGTAATTCATCCTGCACTGCCACAGCTTCGGCGGCCGACAAGTTCAAACACAGTGAACAGCAAAATGATCCACAAATATTTGAACAATGCAAAGTCCCAAAAACGGCACAAATAAAACACATTGCAATATCAGGAAAATTCTGCAAATGGCAAAAACAGCTACAAATATAAAACATGACGTCCTCCTTTAGGGGGAGTCTGGAGTCTGTGATACTACCAGTGTAAATATGCTGCTGATTTTCAGACTGCGTGTTTTGAAACACATAAAGCACAACAAACCTTTTCTTTTCCGAGGGTCGGGTCCCATATGATCTGCTGATCGACTCCCCCTGCTGGACTGGAGGACTTCCATTATGGACGAACTTTTCAACGTTTTATACTTGCATCTGGTTTTACTGTGATTGCAGTGTTTTCCAGGCTCCCATTGCCTTTGGTTGCAGCATTTTTTATGTGCATTTGTTTTTTGTGGTTTGGAGTTCGCATTATTCACATGTTGTTTTCACCTGTCTGCGATACTGCTCTCACAGCAGGGTGACCTGGGTCAGGCCATGCAAGCAGGTGGTGGGTTCTGATCATTTGTTATCCATTTATGATAATAATAATAATAATACATTTTATTAAACAAAATAGTCTACAAGCAGTATGGTTTTCAGTTGTGACGTGAGGAGTTGCAGAGAGGAATGAAGGTGGATGGAGTGGATTGATATTCCTTTTTGTTTTATATTAAATTCATATGATGAAAAAGTGAAGACCGAACCTTGAGGAACAAGAAACATGTTCTGTAAGATTGGTGTCAAAGGTTGCTCAGAGTTGTCAGCAGATCATGATGGAAATGATTCTCATCCCAAATGTTTAACAGAACCTGTCTGCGCTTCTGATTCTGTTTTCAGAGCTTTGAATTCCCAAAAACACAGTTCTATTCACATTGTTTTTAAAATCAGATACCAGAACTAAGCATGAGCAATGTTACCATGGAAACAGTGTCCTCAACATTATCCTGATCATCTGTTCCTATAGAACTTCACAAACTGTCGGTGCATCAACAACGGTTCTGGTTGGGCCCGGCCCGGGACCTGCGGCAGTGGCTGTTCCAACCTTCTGCCTCCCTTCATCATCCTGATGGGGCTCACCAGCTTCATCATCGCCTTCACCCAGACGCCCTCCTACATGATGGTGCTCAGGTAGGAGAGCCACAGCTGACTTCTGGTTGGTTGGTTGGTTGGTTGGTCGGTCGGTCGGTCGGTCGGATGTTTGACTATTTGGCTGACTGATTGTTTGTTTGTTGAATCAGTCAGAGAACCAAAGATCAGGAAGGGAATCTGGTTGTTTTACTGTAGCTTTGTCTTATTCTGGAGTTTCACAAACCTCCCATTCCATTCCATGTTTCCCTTCCTCACAGCCAGAATTCCCTGCAGTCTTGAGTTTTGAAGTTTTTTATTTTAAATGGTTGACTAGAGAGGTTAAAAATCAGGCCTGGTTGTCCCTGTGAAAATCAGCTAAACCTTTGTGGGTCATACAGAGAAAATCACTGAAATAACAAATTCTGTTCTGGGATCCGTTCATTATGTTTGTGTTTGTTCTGCAGGACGGTTCCACCTGAAGATAAGTCCTTTGCTGTGGGAGTTCAGTACATGCTGTTCAGAGTCCTAGGTGAGTCACGGTGGCCCGCCAGAATCTCCTGCATGTTCCACTGTTGTTCTGCCATCCAGTAGAAAAACTGGCTCAGTTCTAAAGGGAACCACCTGCTGCCAGATGTTTGTGGCCTTCTGAGCACTGGCGCCACCAGAAGGTCAACATTTGCGATGTTTTTCTCTGTGCAGCATTCCTGCCCGGCCCGGTTCTGTATGGCAGTGCCATTGACACCACCTGCATCCTGTGGGGTGCGAAGTGCGGAAAGAGGACTTCCTGTCTCTACTACAACCTGGACGGCTTCAGACACAGGTACGAGGTCCACCCACCTGTCATCCCACAAACCTTATTCACTTCTCAATAATCAGTTGAAAAACTCTTATTGGTATCAACCAGGCTGGAAGGCCTCTGCACCATCACCTTAATCTTTCACATTTTTTGTTCAGAACCAAACTCAGGTTGTTTATTCCCCTGATAGTCAAGTAGACCCAGTTCTACTGGAACCAAAACTTCATTATCTGTTCTATCTCCAGCTGCTGTGGTTCTCTTTCTCTCTGCTGTGAGTCAAACCAATCAAACCCTTTGAGCAACCTGTTCCCCTCCTGGCCATGGGGGGGCGCTGTATCAAGAACCACTGGAAGAATCGACAGAAAAACCTCTGAAGACTCTGAGCGCAACTTCTTTCTTCACCAAATGGAAATTAAAATGGAGGTGTCAGATTTTAGCGGTTAGAGGATTTCTCTTTAGTCTTTGACAAAAGACTGCAAGAATGCCCTGCGCTGTTGTCCACTTCATAATTTTAGAGCGGCCTCCGGTCCACTTGGCGTTCACATTCAAACTGAACCAGCGTTCACTTCAAACGAACCCAGGCCAAGGTTTGGAGGACCAGAGGTCAGAGGTCGTTTAGCGTTCACACCTCACCAACCAGAACAAACTCTTCTAGGCAAATGGACTGGAGTTGGGTTCAAGTGGACTGAACAGGGCTGATGGGGATGCAGTCTGAGTCCAACAGGGAGACCTGGGCTCAGTCCAAGTTTCCCAGCAGTCAGAATTGGCATTAGGTAGTGACTGGATCTCTGTGTGTGCAGGTTCCTGGGTCTGATGGTGGTGTTTGTCTGCGGAACGCTGCTCTGCTTCGTGCTGACCATCATTGTCCTGAGGAGAAGAACCGGAACTTTCCAGCTGCCGCCCGGAACCAGAGGCTCCCACTACGAGATGGTGGGAGAGCAGAATACTTCAGAGAAAGAGCAGACAGCATTGAAGACCTGAAGAGAGGCAGCAGGAAGACAAGCTCCTGACCAGAACAGGAAGTGTTCCTGATGGGAACAGGAAGCTGCCCACTGGTTCTCCTCGTGTTGGCATAAAGAGCCCTAACAAGACAGTGTTTTTATGTTTGTGCCTCTACTACTCTGCACCCTCTGCTAAGGTTTGCTGTGAGTTTTTGTACACAAAATGTTTTTTATGATGAATTTTTTACCTGTCCTGTGGAACCTCGGTGGGTTCTGCAGTCCGAAGCAGAACAAAGACAGAAAACTGACCTTTAAATGGTTTTTATGGGACTTTTCTTAGTGAACTATGGTGCAGCTTTCAAAGTGAATACAGAAACATTGTGAAAAGAAAATATAAGCTCCTTCCATTAGCAGTGACCTGCAGTTCTAACCTGAACCCGGTCCATTCTGTACATAAACCTAGACTCTGTCTCAAAGGCTATCAGTCACACATCTCCTCTTTAACCTGACAAAAGCTGCAGGGAAACTGAAACCCTGTCGACTTTAGACAGGGTCTTCAGAAATCTGCTTTTAAGAAGCTGGAGTTCTGCCACTTTCCACTAAGTGCTGCTCAAACGATCAGAGCTCTAAGTGAAGAGGAAGATGAGGTGAAAGGCGGATGAAGACGGCTACCTGACACCAAGAGAGGAACAAAAATCTGTGAATTCTTCAGATCAGAGCAAAAGTCCCGACTTTTCTGCTGCTGCTTCATGTTTTCAGACGTTTAACCAAATTTCAGGCTTTACGAAACTGTTTTATATGCCTCTACTACATATAAAATGTATTTTTTTTACAAGTGTGTTTAAGAATTTTGATTAAATCTTCTGGACCTTTTCAGAACAGAAACAGTGATTCAAGGAAACGTATGTAAAAAAAATACTAACGTTTGTTTGTTTTATAAACTGTTTTCTAAGAGTAAAAATTGTTTTTTTGTGTTTTCTGTCAGAATTTAAAACCAACATAAAAGATGTTTGTGGAAAAAAGGTTGGTTGGTTGGTTGGTTGGATGTTTCGTTGGTTGGTTGGTTGGTTGGTTGGTTGGTTGGTTGGTTGGTTGGTTGGTTGGTTGGTTGGTTCTTTGGTTGGTTGGTTGGTTGGTTGGTTGGTTGGTTGGATGTTTCGTTGGTTGGTTGGTTGGTTGGTTGGTTGGTTGGTTGGTTGGTTGGTTGGTTGGTTGGTTGGTTGGTTGGATGTTTCGTTGGTTGGTTGGATTATCTCCTTCAGGATTTCATTTTCTTTCACTGCTGGCTTTGTGTTTTTGCTCTTGCTCATTCAGCGTTCCTCTAACTCATTCCTGAATTCTCCATCCTCTTCCTCCTGATCTCTAACTTCCTGTTTCTTTCAGTTCCGCTGAAGCGATTCAGAAAGTTATGGTTGATCTTTTGCTGAATGTTGTGTGAAATTCTGTGATCCAGGCAGGAAGTGGTGACTGTCAAATTTCTGGAAGCTGGGTCGTCATGACCGGCGCCGTCATCATGCCGCTCCACCTCCTCAATCTTTAGATGATTTTCTTCTGTGGAAACATTTTAATCTTCACCATGTCAGCACATTAGCAGCGAATTCTGGTTTATCTGATTCATGGTTCTGTTTTTACTCATTTCACTTTCTGAAATTTGGCAATTCTCTTCCTGAGGATGAAACTTGAACTATTGTCCTCCGCCCCTGATTCTGATCTGGTTCTGACAGTTCGGATCAGAACAATATCAGAGTCTGAAGTTCTGAAAGAAAATCTTCCTGCTGGCAGGTAGATCTCAGTCAGAGAATTCTTGCCAGATGGACGGGTTCAGACATAGAGCGGCTTCCAGGAACCCGGTGCAGGTTCAGACCCGCGGGCCTGAAACCGGTACCGCATATCTCCCATATATTTAAACAGTCACTCACACACTTTCACTGTAAGTGATCCGTTTACACAGAACCTGACAGAAAAGACCAGAAATATGTGGAAGATGAAAACAAAACTCTTTCATTAAATTAATAATCGAGATATAAAATATTTATTTTAATATTTAAATCTTTTTTACAATGTAGATACTTTTGTTACAGTTTTTCTGCCTTCAGCTGAACATTAATTGCTAATAGGATTAATCAGAAATGCTTAGACTTGAGGTAGTTTTGATATTTTCACAGCAGGCTGAGTGACAATCGGATTCTGGATGAGGACAGGAAACAGGAAGTGCTGGTACCGGTGAGTGAAGACCCGGTCTGGACTGAGAGAACCATTTATAGTCTGCTGAGCTGTGTGTGCAGCGCTGCAGTAATCCTGTCATGAGTAATTATTTATGTGAAACAGTGGAAATTAGTTCAGCAACATGAGCCAGAACCAGAGGTCAAAGGATAAGCCGAGGTACTGTGGAAGTCCAGGTTTCTCCTTTAGTCCAGACTTTGCTCTGCAGCAAAGAGATTATTTCCATTTGGGTGAAACCAGGTGAACAAGTGGAGATCATCTGCATGAAAGTGACCAGAGACAAGAGGAGGCCCACAGCATGACTCCACCACCACCGGACTCCACAGCCGGGATGACACCAAGTGTCTGTCTCAAAGGCTATCTGATTGAAGTTTCCTCAATCAGACCAAAGTCAGCAGAGTGCCTAAACAGGAAGCAGCGTTCTAGTCTAAAGGTTGTTTCATCACACCAGCTTGTCAGCCCAACAGGAAGTCAGCTTCTCTCTCTGACAGACGGCCACTACATTGGCAGGATGAAACCAGCAGAACAGTCCGGGCTGGTTTTGTTAGATCTGAACTCCGTGGACTCAGTTTTGACTCCACATATTCATTAAAACGCACTGATCCCTTTAAGTTTCTCAGCATCATATCGTAGTGAAATGTTGTTTGAAACTTAAATGTATCCTTAGAGGCAGACTGTTCCTATTTACCTCCTAAAATAAAATAAAAATAATCGCAAAATATGAGAATCTAATTGTAATGGAAACGCATTAAAATGTTCTGGAAGTCAGCAAACAAATCAACCAGATTTAGTTTAAAAGACAAAAAGTGGGACAAAAACAAAAATTTAACCCAAAATCAAACAACCGGGATAAATCTTCTCCGTTTTACATAAAAATAGTTGAGATTCTGAACTGTTCAATTAAACCCAGACCCAGAACAAAATGTCCAGGAGGCCAGAAGAGTTAAACTGCCCCCTACTGCAAGGTATGGTGCAGGATAGTCTCTGTGTTGACATAAAATCTGATGATTTCTATTAACATAAATAAAGCTTAGAGGTAAACTGGCTTTTTTTCTTCCTCTGTTTTATCTTCCGGCAGAAGAAAGTTTTGTTTATTTCTTCCAGGAAACATTTTATTTTCAACACAAAATGTTTCATTAAAACTGAAACAGTTACAAAGATTTTCATTTAGATTTTTTTTATCTTTTTATTTTTTATCTGCAGAAAAGAGATGGAGGTTCAGAAGAAGAAAAAGGCATAGGAACCAAAACAGAAGAAATCTGGTTGCTATTTGTGTTTACAGGCTGTTTGTCTCCCTTTGGTGGAGACAGAGGCGCATCACATGCTGAGTACCTCAGTCATGACTAAAGGTGATTGCGGCTGGGATTTATTTAAATCTGCTGTTTTTGTCATAGAACCTGCTGAAACATCTTCAGTTGTTCAGAAATCTGAGTCCTCCACTAAATTTGACCATCTGTATAAAGTTGGTCAAACGTTAACCCTAAGAGGCCAATGTATCCTGACACTCTGGCCTCTCAGCACTGACATTATTCATATCTGGTTCTGTTCCTGACAATTCAAAACCGTAAACATCACACCAATACTTAAAACCTGGCTTGGTCCCTGCGAATCTCTTCATACACACTTCCAACTGAAACAAAATCCCGACCGGCTCATGTTAAACATCAGAAAACATCAGAAAACGTGTCCTGGAGTTTATTGTCATGTTTATTGTAATTAAAACAAATGACGACATCTGCTTTCTTACAAAACATTTCTTAATGTAGATTATTTCAAGAGTATTCACAGATTAGCATGATCCATCTCTGTTTCAACATGAAAAATATGATCAAATATCCTTAAACCATCTGCCATCACAAACAGCTGGAACCCCTCCTAGGACCTGCTAAGAGTGTGTGTGTGTGGGTGTGTGTGTGTGTGTGTGTGTGTGTGTGTGTGTGTGTGTGTGTGTGTGTGTGTGTGTGTGTGTGTGTGTGTGTGTGTGTGTGTGTGTGTGTATTTGCAATACCGTGTGGGGACCATTTTCCTGACATATACCCACTGGTTCCCACAAGGGGAAACACTTTTTTTGGGTCGGGGATTAGATTTAGGACTAAGGTGTGATTTGAGTTTTAAGTAGGGTTAGGGTTAGGACAAGGGCAAAGATTAGGCTGAAAATGAATGGAAGTCAATGAAAAGTCCCCACAAAGATAGCCACACAAACATATGTGTGAGTGTGTGTGTGTGTGTGTGTGTGTGTGTGTGTGTGTGTGTGGGGGGGTGTGTGTGTGTGTGTGTGTGTGTGTGTGTGTGTGTGTGTGTGTTAAATTTTCAGGACTTTGGGGTTGACCACCTTCCCGATGAACAGCAGTGCTCCTGACGGTTCATCTCGGATCAGGTAGACGAAGGGCCGGTCCACTCGGTAAGTCAGGTGGGAGGGTGCAGATACGGTGCTGGGGTACTGGGCTCCTTCGGGTGCTGTCTCCATGACAACTTTATGATTGATGCTGGTGAGTTTGCCCGGCTGGACGGAGATCTTCTCCAGTTCTTGGTTGTCCAGCCAGTCACTGAGGCCTGCAGGAAGGAATGAGGAGAATGAGGATCGACTGATGCTCCATGGCATCCCACTGGGTCACCCCTGCCTCGCACAAACCAGACAGAATGCTGGGAGTCAGTCAGCTGTGTGGCTGAATGTTCTGCCGGGTTCCCCCCGATTCCTCCCAGTTTCACTGACTAGTCCCTTAACTTTCCCTCAGGACTGACTGTCCTGTGTCAGAGAACCAGTGTACTCCTCAGTCATGGACAGAGTGAAATTGAAGGTCTTGCTCCTCTGGGTGACTCACCGAGGTCGCCAAGCAGTGATAGCAGGTCGATGGAGTAACTAAGCTTCAGGACAGGCAGCGTTAGGGACACCCGGGCCGGCTGCAGCGCCATGGAGAGGTCCTGAACGAACTCAGCCGTCAGACTCTCCTCCAGCAGCGTGGTGTTGGTCGTCACATCGTCGGGCAGGAAGACAAACATGCTGACGTCGTTCTGCATCTGGATCTGAGCGATCTGCAGGAGGAACCACAACATTCCTGAGATCTCTGCCAACAGCTCCTCAGCTCTGCTGCTCACAACACTCACAGTGCAGCTCAGGTCCGAGTCCACACCCATCTTCACCGGGTAGTTATCCTGTTGCATCATGGGAACACGGACCGGAGCCCCATTTTCCACCTGGAAGTCCTGCTGAACTCCGCCCTGACTGAAGCGGGTCACCCATCCCCCTGTTGGAGGAGAACCCAGACGTCAGTCCGGTTCTGGCTGCTGTAACGGCTGTCTCAGGGTCCGGCAATGGAACCGACAACCCTGCAGGGTCTGACCATCAAACGTCAGGAAGCATTAATACTGCTGCTGCTGATGTGAAATATTGCTGATTTGACTCGGCCCGCTCCTGCCCCCTGGTGGTCACTCCAGCTCATTAAAGATCTAATTATTTACATTCCTATCAATGACCAACGACGAAGTAACAGAGCCCGCTAAGATTGAAAATATTAACCACAAGAGTACTAAAGATATTAACAATGATGTAATATTACCAGAAAAAAACAAGTCATTCTGTGAAAAAAGGAAAAAGTTGTTGATATGACGATTTTATTGTCATATTACTACGACTTTATTCTGGTAATACTAGATCTTTATTATTATGACGTTATTGTCGTACAGTTAACACTTTGTCCCTGAACATTTCTCCTTCCTGTCTAAGTGGTTCTGAACTGCTTGTCACCAGGATGTGAGTCCGGTCTGATCTTTACCAGCTACAGGTTTATATGTCTGTCAGAAACTCCTCCGTCTGTCACGTTTAAACACCAAACCGGGATTTTCCTCTGCCATCATGAACGCTCAATACCTTTGAAGTAGGCGGCACTGATGGCGTTGATGCCGGCGATTCGAGGGAGACCGTTGGTCAGGAACTGTTGGACTTTCCTTCCCGTCTGCTGAGACACCCAATCATTGATCTCCTTCGTGTCTTTGGCTCCGCCCATCAGCGCTTTGGGGCGGACGCCATACTGCTGCTCCACCAGTTTGAAAAAGTCCTGCTTCAGACGGAGTCCTGAAAACCAACGGAGTGATGAGTCATCAAAGCTTTGGGTTTTTTAGAAGATCTGAACTCTTTGAGCAAGTCACAGACACCAGAACCTTTTAAACGATTTGGGTCGTAAACCTGGACTCACGTCGCGTCACATAGAGCCGAGCAGCCATGCTCAGGCCTTTGCCTGAGGAGGTCACTGAGGCCAGCAGGTCCTTCAGGGTGTTCTGGAGCTGAGGGTCCTGCAGGGTGTGGTACCGGAGCGCCCGGTGCAGCTGCCTCTGGGCGTTTTCTGAGCCCCCTGCAGGACAGGAGGGGAAGGACAGAGTCGCTGGTTATGACGATGCTTCAGAGGAGGAATAAGAAGATGGGGTACCTGAAGGTTCCTCACTGAGGGGAACAATCAAAGTAAACTCATTCAGGCCCAGTTAGAGCCAGTACACTCACCCATAGACAGCTGGGTCAGAACCGCAGACACGCTGATCGGAGACAGAAAAAGGTTGGCTGAAGTTTCGCGGCTCGTCAAAGCCCGGAACAGGTTGTAGCCAAAGTCCGAGGTGGCGGCGCCCATCTTGGTGGCTGGCGTGGTGAAGAGCTCCACATGTTCTTCCTCCACGGCCGCTTCCTCACCTCCGGAGTCCGACTGCACAGAACCGGGACAGAACCATCAGGATGGACCCGGCTCTGACTTCACAGTTGTGTTTACTGAGCAGAACTAGAACTAAAGCCTGGAGGTGACAAATGCCTGTACAGGAACCAGTTCCACTGGAGATGTTCTACTGGAAGTTCTCCCTCTAAAGCAGTTTAGTTTTCTCACCAGATAAACAGGCCATGTGCACAACAGTTTCACATTTACCAGCTTTCCTTTAAATGATTACATTCAAACAATCTGATCTGCTAAACCAGCTAAGAACTCTAAACACACTTCATAAATTAACCAAACTTGCCTGCAGATTGTTGGTATTGGTTTCATCTGTTTGTTTTTAGTTTATCCCAACATCAAATCTGAATTATCTCTCTGTCATGATTTACCTTTTCAACACAAAATCCTCCTGATGGCCCAAATATGATCATCGCTGTAACCATCTGCTATCACCACATATATTTAAACACAGTTTCAACCCTCCATGCAGAAAGACCCAGACTGGGATCTGAACCCAGCAGAAGGTTTTTACTGCATCGCAGCAGCAGAAACCATGAACTGAACATTTTCATTGCACCAACTGAAAGTTTTTACTCCATGAATTAAACAGAGTAAAAGCTGCAGGCAGCTGATGACCCTGAAACACGAGGAGACGATCTGTGGTTACCTGAGCCCAGCTGAAGCTCAGGACGGCTGCCAACGCCAGCAGGAACGTTGTTCGCTTCATCCTGAAAAACAAGCAGATGAACGCCATGACGCAATGATGCTGTGACGCCATGATGGCGTGACGCCATGATGCCACGTCACTAAAGAGACAGAAGGGTCACATGACTTCCTGTTCTGCCTCTCTCTAAGGCCTGAGGTTGTCCTGATGCGTCTCTATTATTCTGCTGCAGGAGAAACTCACCACTTTTCTTGTTTTCTTTTCCTACTGCTCTCCATCCTGCTGTACTTGCTGTTATTTCAACTGTTAACTTTATGTTCAGTTATTTTCTCTCTATAGAAGAGCTTCTGATTGGTTGGTTCCTTCCTGGAGGCGGGGCATCAGCTGGCATGATGCTGCCATCACCTGATCACTCTCCTCTCCTGCTTCCAACTCTTTACTTTAACATAGAAAGTTGTCCTGGTTCTCATTGTGTCTCTGTCTTCTCTCAGCTCCAGTCTGTCGCTGGTTCTGAGTCCGGGTTCTGGTTCTGCTGGAGGTTTCTTCCTGTTAAAGGGAGGTTTTCCTCTCCACTGTCGCAACATGCATGCTCAGTGTGAGGGATTACATACAACGACACAACACAGGTGGTTGTATAATGTTGCCCCCTGCAGGACAGGAGGAGAGAATGCTGAAAGTGTAAATCATCTCCAGGCTTTTGTTGTGAACTGGAGTAAAGAAATGAGTTGAAATGAACAGAGTTCATATCTGGTGAGGAGAAGACGTTTTTCCTCACGGGTCAGAAACCTGTTTTCAGCAGGAGGAGGCAGAGGGAGTTTCTGTTGAGCAGACAGCAGACGCTCTGATTACAGCCTCCGCTGCACAATGGCTGCATTCTGCTCACATCTGGACCTTCTTCACACCAAACCTCAGACCACACAGGAATGATGGGAAACCCAGATGGAGCCGGGCAGCAGCTTTTTTCCTCTAAGACTCGAAACGAAAACAAGAGCCATGGAGGGCAGAGAGTGATTCAATGTTTCCTGACATGAAGCTCAATATGAACTCGTCCAGCGCCTCGTTCTGCCCGCCAGTCCTGAGGCTCCAGGTCCGTCCTGGTCTTATGCTTTATTATCTGCATCATCGTCTCACTTGGCTGGGGACGGATCGGTCCTCAGTGTCTGCAGGACAAGCCCACATCATCACTCCTCTACCACCGTGTTTGTTTGTTTGGTCTCCTTAACCAACAATCATTAATGGTTTCTAAACTACTGGAAGCCCAAACCTGAAATTGAAAGTTTTTCCAGGGAAATTCCCTACTTTCCTACTTTTGAACTGGTGAAGCGTTTTATATCAAATATTTTTACTTTGTGTGGAGTCAGAATTAGATCAGAATATAGAAACAATTGAAGGCATACAGGAACAAATATGAGAGTTCTTCAGAGGTTCTCATGGTTCTGATGGTTGAAGTTGGACCAGAGCTGCTGCTGTTTCACATTACATAACCTCGTAGCGGAGGAAACGCTGCAGCTGTTTGCGGTCTTTGTCTCCGCGGCGCAGAAGGAAGGAAAACTTTGTTTTTCAGCACAACTCTCATAAAAGAAAAAAGCGCACACACACAAAACGAGCAATAAAAACTGGATTTAAACTTCGGATTTAAATGTAAGAATGAAATCAAAGCGGTCCAAATAAGCACCGAGTGTCTTTCTGACAGTTCTGAGTCACTGGAGCCAAAACGTGCAAACTGGAGCCTGGATCCAGTTTGCACGTTTTTTTGACCATCAGCTTTTGATTTCAGTTTCAAAAACACACACACACACACACACACACACACACACACACACACACACACACACACACACACACACACACACACACACACAAAAGAGGAGCAGCGGTTCACTCACCTCTCCGGTCCGGACGGTCCACGTCGCTGCTGTCTTTCTGTCCGTCTGCAGCGGAGACTGTTGGACCCGCGGGGTTGCGCACAGGCGGCGCACAAACGGGGGAGCGGGGGCGCGCACACCGTTTACTAAGCTGCCATTGCTTCTTAGTTTGGGGTAAAGTACAAAACATTTATCATTTGATCTGCAAATGTCCTTTTATTAGCTTTGGAAGCAGATCCACTTAGTTTCCTCTGATCTAAAGTTTCTCACTGATTTAGTCAGAAACGTTCAGAATGGTTCAAAAAGATTAGAGTCAAACAGCAGCAACTGTAAAATACAAGACAAGCTACAGCTTCCGTTGTTGCCCGTGGCAACAAGAAGGTCCATCAGTCAAAAAAAAAAAAAAACTTATTCAATAAAACGGTAAAGTTTATTTAAACGAAGGGTCCACATGCCAATCAATCAGCTGCCAGATCGTTTCATTATTGTTTGTTTTTATGAGGTTTTGCAATTCGTGCACATTTCCATGTTTATATGTGGAATCAGATGAAAGCATCCAAACCTCTTTACAACAACAAGGTATTTTATTTCACAGTTACTGATGAACATGGTAGCAGTTTAAAAACAAACAAAACAAAACAATATTTCCTATCAGAGGCTGTTTTCACTCTCTGGAAGATATTTTTTAAATTTAATGAAGAACAGACTTTGAGTAAAAACAGAACATGTAAATCATAAAGACGTTAGTTACAGACGTTGTATCAGGGCAGCATATTGTGGTTTTCAGCTGAACTACGATCACGTGACGCGCCTTTCTGAAACAGGCTAACGCGTTAGCTTCCTGAGGGTTGACAGGAGCCGTGCAGTCTGAAACTTATTGGTTGTATTGGAGTCTCTAATTGTCTGATGAGATGTTGCATCATTTCTTTATTACGATATGTTTTTTTCAGACCGGGACAAAGTTGTCTGGTTTGGCGCAGGGCTCGTCTCCTTGAGTCTTACTGCTGCTGCCATCTTGTTCGTCGACCTGCTGCGGCTGCTCCTTCCCACCACCGGGGGCGCTGCAGGACTGAAGAGTGCTGCCCTCTGCTGGCAACCTGTTGAGCTCGACGTTCAGGTCTGCTCCCCTGGCCGCCCCGGTTCCAGGCTGGTCGTTCATGGTGTTGTTCCCGTTGGGGTCGTCGTTAGGCATGGGGTCGTTGTCGGGGGCGGGGTTTGTGACGATGCCCAGGAACAGAGGGGCCAGAGAGAAGTCATCAACAAGGGCAAACAGGAAAGGGGAGTTGACAGAGAAGAGGGAGATGGAGCGCATCGCGGTCACCACGGTGGTGGCGGACGCTTCGACGCCCTCTTCACTGAGCTCCATGGTGGTGGCGTGACGGACGCTCGACACCCGAAGGGGCTGCTCAGAAATGCCAGAGAGGTCCGGACCCGAAAACAGGGAGCCGAGTCCTGACAGACAAGCACAACAGGAGAGAAATACTCAATAGAGATGTAAATACACAATGTCCTCCAGAGTGTCTATGGTGCTACAGTAGCTCTGGATCAGACCCTCAGAGCAGGAAACCACACAACCACCTATTTTCAGAGGACAAATCATTATTTGACCCTTCATCACACAATCTACATCTATAATTCATAACATTATTCCCAATAATGTGACGGCCTGATCTGCCATACTAGAGATTCCACTGACAGCATCAACTCTTTCCACTGGACCCCTGCAGTGACATCTGGCATCCTTAATGTTCTGGAAGTTCCCAAGTTGGGTCTTCACGGGTCAAACTTTTCGGTCCAGTATTTCCATTCAGAGGCAGTTTGGAAATACTAAACAGCCTCTGATTAGTAGGCTAATCAGCAAATCCCAAATTTGCTGATTCTTAAATTTGGGGGCAAGGCCAACACTTCAAACAGGCTCGTGTGGGCCTAGAGCAGCAGGCATTCCTCCTGTGCATAACTAAACCTTGACCATGACTATTTTCTTGGTTCACCAGAGATCTTTCATTACACCTGATCAGAAACTCCTCACATGATTCAGGCAGCTTGGCTTCTTCACTCCAATTTTTTCCTCCTTCTAAGACATCAATTCTGAGAACAAAGTGTTCACTTGATGCCTGATATGTCCCACTTTTGACAGTTGGCTTAGTGAAAGTGTTATCACCTGTTAGGGATCATAATCTTATGCCTGTTTGACAAATATACATGTGTCCTGGCTCTGTCAGCTGGTTCTGCTGGACCCTGCTAATGGCCTTTGAATCGGTGCATATGCAGAGTGACATCTGAAACCTGCAGAGCAGTGGGCAATTTGGACCAGAGCTGGACATCACTCTGTTGGTGCTATAAGACATCAGTGTCTTGGTACTAAATATCGACTCTTTAAGTATGGAAACATGGTGTTGGAAGAAAAAGATGTTTATGGTGATTCACAGTCAAGTCCATTCTACTTCCTGATGCAGTATTGCAGAAGTTCCTGCTTTGGCACAAAGAAGGATGCACCTTGACGTATCTGCATTGCATACTACCACACTTTGAGGCTTCCAGTCTGTGTCACTGCTGACCAATAGAACAACAGTTAGTCCTGAAATGCTTCAACAGGCATCGGTCTACTTGTCCAACTAACCTATGAGGTGCCACAAGGTTTTCTATCCTCACCCATGCTGGTCAGTGCCTCTTCGAGCTCCTGTCGATACTGAAGCTTCATCTTTGGTATGTTGACCTGCATTGATTTTTCTTGAGGTAGACGACTGTAGAGGTCAGAAATATTTAGCTTGGGAAGCACCAATGAGACGTTTCCTATGGGAAGGATGACTAGGAAGCTGGTGTTTCCTTTGAAGGGAAAGCTGGCAACCTGCAAACAAAACAAAACATCATTTTGTTTGGACGTTCAACAGAAACTAATCCCAGCATTAGATTTCCATGATGTAAGAGGGTTGTGATACCTGTGCCTGCAGCTGAGGGTCGTCCATCAGGCGTAGAGGATACTGGGCAGACTTCATCATGTCCACTGACACTGAGTTCTGGCTGTCAAGATGAAACACTCCCTTTGAGGTCACCTGAGGGTCAAACTGGGTCTTCCATTCACCTGACAAATAGATACAGCAAAAGAAAGCTTTTATTCGAGGTCAATATGCAGTCGTCTCTTGTTAAATATGACTCCTATGGTTTCAGTTGAAACTCAGGGAAACATGTAAGTAAGGTCATCCTCTTCCAACACCCTGCAATACACTTATAATTGGTGAGGGATTGATTGAAGGGTTCACCTTTGAAGTAAACACCGTTAATGAGCATTAGCACCACGTCATGTGGAATGCTTTCCAAGAAGTTGGGGATGTTTCCATTGGTGACGTTTTCCACCCATTGGTTGACCTCATCCACAGAGATGAGAGGGAAGGGCCGGGACCGGTACCTGGACAGTAAAACAGTTTGAAAACAGATCTGGCATAGATCTGGCTGTTTGTTTAAATAATTACAAACTTCTCAATACATCAAACCAGATCTTTCAGAAGTCTGGTGTGGAAAATTATTTTTGATGAAAGATTGATCCAGTTTGTCCAAATACACTGCAATCCAGTTCCCTCTTCTGTTATCTATGTAAGGGTTTGGTTCCCAAATATAACCAATACCTGGCCAGAGATTCCTCAACAAACGAAGCCTTCACTTCAAATCCTGAGGTGAGGAAGAAGAAAGCATGAGAGTGACTAATGTGTGCTGAAGTGAGGAACCACTACTGCTGATGTCCCACCTGGCCTCAGGTACATGCGTGCCGCCACCTCCAGTGACCTGTGAGTTAGATGAGGCACAAGGCTTCCCAGGATGTGATGGAAGCATGGCCGGTTGTGGGCCTGAAGACTTTGTAGGAGAATCTTCTCTGTTTCATTGCGGGAACCTTAGGAAAGATAAATGAAACTTTTTACCGTCTTAGCATTAATCTGCAACATTACAATTCAGTTTAAATCTAAATTAAATCTGGAAAATGAAGCTGGTGAACCTAAGGTGAGGTGAGCGAGGGCGAACATCAGGCTGAGAGGGGAGAGGATGACGTTGGACTGCTGAGGGCTGATAGCAAGCTTCTCCAGGATCTTCAACCCCAACTGCTCTATAGCGCCCCCTATCGCCCGGTGTTCCTCACGGGTGAATGTTCTCCCACATTTACTGACGTTTTTCTCCTGTTCTTTATCTGTGATTGGAGGGACTTCAGGAGCTGCTGTGGCGGGCTCTTCCTGAACAGACATCGACAGAGTTCAGACACGAATGCTAACAAGAGAAACGCTACGAGTCGGTTCTTCTTACGGTCAGTCCCTGGCGACTGAGGCACATCAGCAGCAGAAGAAGACACAGCTTCATTTCCAGAAGGACAGCCTGGAAATACAGACACAGACATGACTGAACACCAGCTCTGCACAGTGGTCAGCACTCTTTCGCTAACCCACTGATGCACTAAGAGCTAGTTTTTCATTTAGCACTTTATCATCTCATTTAGTGCGCTTAGCTTCTCCTATGTACTATTTTATAGTGCATGTTGTGTCATCAACATGTTGGGTATCCATATGGTTCCATACGTAACAGATTTTGTTTCAACTAAATCTAGTGTTGGTCTAGTGCTTTAGCATTAGCAGAACTAACTTTTTGGTCAGCAGTGTTCGTCTTTGGTTCTGAACATTGATTCTTAAATTCAGGCATGCAAAAGGGAATGTTTTGTTCAGCCTCGGCTGACTTTAACTAGACCTGTCAAGCATGTGCATTGATCGTTTAGGTCCCGGTGTATGTAACATGTATTTTGGGTCTTCATCCGTTGTAAACTACAATCATCAAAAAAAAAACTACGATCAGCACCAAACTCTTGTTATTACAACTATGAGACCCTCCAGGTCAAAGTTTTGGATCCACCTCCATTTCTCCACTCTGTCATGTGGTCCATTAGATTTTAGAACAATCAGACTTCCTAACATCCTGGTTTACGCCAAACTGACCAACAGCTTTCAGAACCAGCGATTATGTAAATATCCAGTCAGTGCAAAGCCCAGATGGGTCGGTCCGGGTCGGAACCAGTGGATGGTTCGGATGTTGCGGCTGTGTTTACCAGGAGACTAAAGGTTAATGTTTCAGAGCCTTTTTTGGCCGAATGGCAGTACGCTGAATAAACACAAAGCAGAAAACACTGAACCGAGCATGAAAACATGAACACTTTCCAACAGTTCAGGTTCTCCGCAACAATCATAATTCAGAGATCAGTGGATGATCTGGAGGCATTTATTATACTCATCATTAATCTTTACAAACATTAATCTTTATCAACGTAACTGCTTCCCCCCTAACAACCAAACAGACAAAGTTCTGGTGAGATACGAGCTGGCCCAAACTCACCCGGACTTCTCTTGAGAAGAGGAGATGAACAACAGAGAATAATAAAAGAAAATCCAGATGTGATCAACCTTCTTCAGGCTGTTCAACATAGTGGACCCAACAACTGCCACCCCCATGTTAGCAGGTTAATAATCAACCCTGACCGGATTGTTGTGCAGGCTGTGGTCACTGCTATAGGTTCCAATCAAACGATGTTGAAGTTAAAATGTTCGTTTACCAGGATCCAAATGATCCACTGGGAGAAATTAAATCCAACTAAATGCATTAACTAGTCTTTCCTGTGTCAGAGTATTTAGGGAGCATTCAGTCAGAATACAGTTGACTGATGGCTCTAAATTATTTTGATAACTTTATCTAAATTTAGCTTTTTGTATTTTTATTAATACAAAATGTTTTAGTCAAGAAAAGCTAAACATAAATGTTGAGAAAAGATTTTTTTTCCAAAATATGAACCAAAAGCATAACAAAAGAAAATCTAACACCAAACGTATTACAACTTAGTGTTAAATGATAAAACAATAAACCTAAACATGTTTTTCAAAGTAAAACTGAGCGATTAGGATGCAGTTAGAAGAAAACTAGAAAGACTGTGGTTAGCCAGCAGGCTAATCAGGTTGTGATTCTACACACTTTTGTTTTCAAACAATAACATCTAGTATTTTTACAGCATAGAAAGTGACTGATTTAATGACTCAAGTTTTAGTCTTAGCATGTTTAGATTAAAAGCTGGAAATTCAACTTTAAAGGGTGTTTTTTTGTTTGTTTGTTTATTTTGTTTGCATTTGACAGATAAAAATGTTCAACATTTTAGTCTACATAATGTTAAGAGAATGAGCGAATAGAGCCAGCTTTAGGACAGAGACAATGAAGACAACAGATTAGTTTGATTAAAAACAGCAACGCTAAGCAGCCAAAACCTACAAAATACGATTCAAATTAATAATGAGAACAACATCTATGTTTGCATGCAACTGTCATGAAGCACATGTCTCCAAAAAATGGAGCGTCTTCACCTGGAGGTCTGAAAACGTTCCAGATCTTTGTGCTTCTGGTAAGGCAGAGGCCCATCAGAGGATGGAATCGTTCGTTACAGCAGAATTTAGATGGTAAATTTGTTTCCATCTCCTTTAGCGCATTAACTCTTATTCAGAAAAGTCAAAAACAACCTCAAGAAAATTTCAAAACAGCATAGCTCAGTTTTTACACCTTTTCACTCTTCTAAAAGTAAAGTTTTTATGGATAGGCTACATTTTTAAAGGTTAGAATGCTTCCTGCAAACCTAGATTGAAGTCTGACAGTGAAACTAAAAGGAATCAGATAATCTAAAGGGTCTTCAGATTATCTTTATAGACACAAGAAAAAGAAAGTGTGGCACGGTTTCAGGTGAGAGTTGTTGACGTAACATAAGAACCTTCTTAAAATTTCCCACTTGTAAAGACGACTAAACCCAGCAGGAGGAGGGTAAACCCCATCCTACACTCCGTTGTGGCTCATTGGGCTTTCCACATACATCCAGAGCAGAGAGAGTGGGCGGGTGTTTGTCTTGTTCTGACCGCCATGTTCCAGCCTAACGCCCCCACATCGCAGCTCTGTGACAAACAGCGTCGCCTCGGCCATCTTGGAAACACCGACATACTGAAGAACTTCACACCAAGGTAGCGCAGAGGAGCAGCACATCTGAAAAACAGTGGAAAACTACAACTGTTTGCTCAGCAGCTGGAGCCGACCTGAACAGGACCGCTCGTCTTTTTGGGGGAAAACGTGGAAATATGTTCAAATCAAAAGCAGACACTGAAAACATGTCAATGTGAGGCTCTAACACCAGTCAGCTGCAGCAACATCTGGAACTCACTGCCATTTCCTCATTTACCCAGAGGAAAAGCTATAAACCAGAACCTCATTCAGAAGCTGTTTACCGTCATCCTGCGGTCCAATCTGCAGGTGGCAGAAGGTTCATCTGGGCAAATAGACATGAGGGGAATGTCCAGTTAGAACCGGGTTCTGAAAGGAGACGGGTTCTGCTGGGAAATATGTGAATTGAC